TGCCTGGCTCTCGAGGGATAAAACAGTGGGGTCAGATCAAGGATCAGTAGTGACTCTTGAAGGTCAATGTGGTAATAAAGTTCTTGGTACACACTTAGTGGTAGAAATTACACAGCTAAATCATATGTATCTGTATCTGGATGACTGCCTGATCTAAGGAACATCTTGTGAAGAGATACTAAGGCAAATTTGATCATATTCATTCTACACTGGGACACATAGAGATACTGAAGAGCTGTCTTGCTGAACAGAATTTCTTTGAGCTGTAATTAATTTCTCATTTTCAAATGCTTATTTTCTTGAGAACAAGTTCCAAGTCTTTCAGGACTTTATGTAAACATACATGAACACTAATGAATTATTACACCTGTAAGGACACGCACGCATGGTGCACTTCACCAAAGGTTGCTAACAATTTAAAAGTTACTTTAGGCCACCATACTTTCCTTTGTACTGGCACAGTAAGCAAAGAACATGGTGATTTCCTATATTAAGTCGTTTTGCTGCAACATTTGGATGGTGGAAACTGTCTGAATATGCTTGTAATACCTGATTTGTTTCACCAGTCCCTTTGCACACTGCTGGTTGGCTCCTACCATGCTACTTAAGATCAGCTTTTAGCCTGTGCCACAGAGGAAGAAGAGGAGCAGTAGTACATAGCAGACCTTCATCTACAATTTGGCTGGCTCTATGCCTGCACACATAGGAAGAGATTTCTTGCATGGGCCTTGCTGAAACAGGGAAAGGCTGATCTGCCCCTAACAAGCTGATACATGTTCTTCATGTTCTTTCTGGTTTGGATCTCGTTCTTCCCTGGTTGCTTGCAGACTAGGTTCAGTGTCTTTGCTGCCAATCTCTCTTTTGGAGGCTGGGAATGTGAAAAATTTTCTACCTATTTTAAACCTCTGTATCACTTGCAGATCTTTAAAATCAGCAGACAAGACTGAGATTTACTTCCTTGGTATATTAGCTGTGTTTTGATGTAAGTGCTCTATATCTGTGCCCGAACTTGTTTTGGTAGTGTAGTAGGTTGATGCTGGCTGGATTCCAGGCACCCACAGAAGCCCCTCTGTCACTCCCCTCTGCACCTGCAAAGGGGAGAGAAAATAAAACAAAGGGTTCATGAGTTGTGATAAGGACAGGAGAGAACACTCATCAAATATCATTACAGGTAAAAACAGACTTGAATTAGAAATATCAATTTAATTTCTTAGCAAAAAACTCAGAGCAGGATAATGAGAAGTAAAAGAACACCTTAAAAAAAAAAAATCACCTTCCCTCCTTCCCAGCTGTATTTCCTCTCTCCATCAGCACAGGGAGGCAGTGAATGGGGGTTATGCCCAATTCATCACACATTGTTCCTGCTGGTGCTCAGGGGGAGGAGTCCTTCTGCTCTGGTGTGGGGTCCCTCCCACAGAGATTCTTCAACATGAGTCTATCCCACAGGCAACAACTCTACAAACTGCTGCAACATGGGTCACTCTTCCTGCACTCTTCCCTCAGGAGTGCAGTCCTTCAGGGTCCCTCATGCAGTCACAAGTCTTGCCAGGAGACCTTTCCCCAGATCTTCAGGTCCCTGCCAAGAGCCTGTTCTAGTGTGAGCCTCTTCAGGCATCCACCTGCTCTGGCGTGGGTCTCCTCCACGTGGTACAGGTGGATCTCTGCATCCTTGTGGTCCTTCATGGACTGTATAGAAAGCTCAGCTCTGGTGTTTGGAGCACCTCCTCCCCTCCTCTTCCTTCTGCACTGACATTGGTGTCTCCATATTTGTTTCCCTCACATATTCTCTCTCCACTCTTCTCTTGATGCAGTTACATCTGCACGATAACTATTTTTTCATTCTTCTTCTGAAATATGTTGTCACAAAGGTGTTACTGTCACTTCCTATTGGCTCACTGTTGGCCTGTGGCACATCCATCTTGGAGCCATCAGGGACTGGCTGTGATAGAGATGGGGAAAGCTTCTAGAATCTTCCACCCAACCCACTACCAAAACCTGGCCATGCAAACTCAGTGCAGTTGTGCCAGATGTTAGTAATCTGTCCACTGTTATCTCAGTCCTGAGTGATCAAACCTGTTAAAATAGGGAAAGTACATTAATTCTGTAACTGTAGAGAGCATGTTGTTTGTTCGTGTTTCATGTATCTTGTTTGTTTTGTCATGAACTAATACAAGTGCAGAAGTAGTACTTGCAGAAGAGGACTTGCACTGAGAGTATTAAACAAGGAGTAATAACTGATTGTAGGTAAAACTCAGAAGCAAATGAGACCATGTTGATTAGCATAAGCAAAATGCATGTGCAATGTCCTAGCAACCTCTTCTGTGTTCTCCATTAAAGTTGTGGGGTTTTTTGGTTTTTTTTGGTTTTTTTAAGGAGGAGACTGAAACAAATTAATATTTCACCTATTTACAAGTTCTTCATTGAAATTCAGGCAAAAACAAGAGGAGAGAGTCAAGGCTTTTAGTTTGAAAGTCTGACAGATGGGCAAGGGAGACTTCTGGCAAGTCAGCCTGTTGATGCCGAATAATACAATAAAGAGAACTGAAACAGATGCTGGAAAGAGATACCATTCTTAAAATTAATTTTTAAAAATTTGGATTTCAAGATTGCTATTCCAAGCAGTTATTACAAGGAAATAGAAAAGGAGCCAAGTATATAACTAAGGAATCAGACTTGCAATAAATCTGACTCTTTTGTTGTCCTTCTCTGTGGTCTTTTGTCATGGTAATTTTTCTTACTATCCTGCATCTGACAAAAGAACAAGTTCTGGATACAAAAGAACTATGGAAGTACTAATTATTTTGTTAGAACTTAATACAAATCAAGGTAATTAGATTTAAATAACCTCTTACCAGGAAGGTATGTACAAAGTATGTATCTGTTCTGATATACGCTACGCTGTACTGCTATTGACCTCATTCAGACAGAAATGGTCTGTGAACAATAAATTTGTTTGTTCCTCATTGTGGTTATGGAGGGAAGCAAAAAAATTCCCAAACCCCCTAAACCCATACTTTCTTGTCTTAAAGTTTTACTCCAACTTTACAACATCACTGTACATCTCTAAATTAAATTACTGCATTTAAATTTAAAATTACATTTTGTTATTCTGCCAGTTCTTTAGGCAGAATGGGTACAAGCTAGAAAAAGAAACACTATGTATATTCTAGGAAGCTTTTCACTTTGCAATCAATGAGTGACTTGCTACCAATTTCTTTTAGCACTTCTTCATCTGCTTGATGAAGTTAGACTTAAAGTTAGACTTAATTTGAAGAAGAGGCCTAAAGGAAGGCACCTTCTCTACCTTGATTTCTTGTGGTGGTTCTATTGTGCACTGAAGTATTCTAAATATGCTTTTTTTTTGCCAAAATGAAGAGAACAGTAACTAGGCCTCAGTCTCTTATCTCTGTGATTAGGAAAAAGGAGCATTCAGTCATGTCAGAAATTTTGCAAAAGAAGCAAGAGCCAGGAGCTTAACCATAGGTCTAATTTCTTCACACCTTGAGTTGTCCCACAGAAATCTTTGAAGTAGTATTTTGTGAAATCTGTTATTTAAGTAAAAGCAGTATTTTAACACTTTAAATGTGTGTTACTTATAATGTAGAAGGGTTCAAATAACATATTTGGGCTTTATTTGGTAGGAACCCTCATTTTAATTATTGGAAGGAATGATACTGCCCACCCCGCCTCCCCCACCAAAAAAAAAAAAAAGAAAGCTGTATTAGCTTGAGGCTGACACTTCAGTCTTTTCATTTCATGGACTGCTGAAAATGGTCCTGAAGATTATTTTCTATAATTTTTGCAGCATATTTGCATTTTATAGGTTTTGTTATGATCCATGATTGTTTGATTATGGAGGTTATGGGGTCTCTTTTGTTTGGTTGGGGTATTTTTGGTTTGGTTTTTTTTGCAATTGATGTATCCATAGAAAAAGAAAACAACATCCTCATGTTTTCTAAGAACCTCTTTCTGTTGTGTCTGTAATGACATTACAAACAAAGTCGCCGTGTAGTGTAACTGGCTTGGTGATTTTTTATGTGAAGTCTTTGGAATAATACCAATAAAAATATTTCTTTCTTTGTGGTGCTTTACAAAGTGACTTAAAAACATTTCAGGGGCTTATGGCTCCATTAGTTATGGAAGCTTAGTGCCCTCATATTCTGTTTCTTTAGTCATATTCTTACGTTTCTTTAGTCACATTGCTACTGTGACTTGTGTGGTCACTTTGCCCTAAGAGGATAATGAGGTGCTGCTAAAGCGGAGTGGATACTTGTGGGCTCTGGTTTACACTTGGTGGTGTAATAGTACAACTTTCCAACTACAGAAGAATATATCTTATATCACAGCATTCTTGAGTTCTGCAAGTTCTTGGCTGTGGACTGAAACAGGGCAGAAAAAAGTTGTTTAATAATGGGGGAGGGAGCCTATGGGGGTCTATATGCCCTCAGGAATTAGGCATGTTATTACTGATCAAAAATAATTTTTTTCAATAGTGATTTTAAAAAAACCTGTGCATAGAGCTTCTACTCCTAACACATTTACATGAAGGGTATATCCAGCCTATGTGTGTATCTGGATTTACAAAAAAAAGTCCTCTAAGCAGTTCAAGAAAATGATGCTATTACTGGCTTGCTGAGAGAGGATTAATTAGGAAATGTCTTCCCTTATCTGGATTTCTAGAAGTTACAGTGGTTCACTTCCTCTTGGCAGAGTATTATACAGAATGACACTAGGCACTATATTAAATAACTATGTTATTACGTATTTCTTCTCTGGGACTTGGTACTTTGGTTAAATTTGAAGTTATTTGCTAGAGAACTGTTCAGCTGTCAGATGAATGAATCAGTCTGAAATAACCTGTAATAGGGTATGTATGTTTGAATAATGAAAAGCCATAGAAAATCTTCCAGTTTGGGGGATCTCCAGGAAAATACTTTTTTGCATAAATACTAGCTTTACTCTGCATACGTTTTATTCCCAACCCCCCCTCTTTTCTCCAGTACTGATACTCGAAAAGGTGGAAAATGGAGATCTGAGCAACAAGATGTTGAAGATCACGGATTTCGGCTTGGCCAGGGAGTGGCATAAAACTACCAAAATGAGCGCAGCTGGGACATATGCCTGGATGGCTCCTGAGGTCATCCGCTCTTCCATGTTCTCCAAAGGCAGCGATGTTTGGAGGTATTGATTTGGCATTAAGTCACTGGATACTAAAGACTAACTAGACCTGCCAGGAAGTCTTTTATGTGTAAGAATGAGTAATGGTGAACCAAATATTAAAACTCAGGTCTTATGAAAACTTTATCCACCAGCTTTCCATCTGTAAGACTTAGCTCAGACTTATTGTTACTGTAGAAAATAAGTGGTGTACCAGCTACTGCATGCCTCTAAATTTTTGTTGTTCTATAAGTTTTCATTCAGATTATTTTGAGATCCATAATCCAAATCCCCTCTACTTTATCTTAACCAGACATTTTGGGCTTATTTGGGTATTGACTGACATAATCAAAGGCCATAATACAATCTGAGAAGTACTTTATTTTTATACTGTTTTACATACAAGATAATTTTGAAATACTTTGTTTTGGTAGTAATCTGTCACTAATGTACATGCACACACACACTGTACTTAATTGAATTCCCTATCCTGTTTCAATCCCAAAACTATGTTTTTTGTTTTCATAATAATTTTATTAATTATTTTCACCCTTCTAGTCTTTCACATAGGATAATAGATCTCTTATCTGGGTCCATCTGAGTATATAATCCATAAATAGTAACTGGCACACGCACACACACACACACACACACACACATATATATATATATAGTCTTATTCATTCATGCACTGGAATTTTTGTGAATGAGCTAATTTGGTGGGGAGGAATGTAAGGATTGGCCCATATACTTCCAGACATTGAGTTTGAATGCCACTGTTAAGTGGATTGGTAAATACAGAATTCAGTAAATAGCTCTAGGACAACGACTTTTCTGGATGTTGGATGATTTAGAATTAGTACTGAACATCTGAAACAGATAAAATAGAGAGAATGTTATTTTTCTTGTGGAGAAAAATGTGTTGAAATGTCAGGATCTTTGTCTTCATAGCAGTAAGATTTTGTTGCTGGTCACTAATGCTCCTCCACAAGTGAGTGCATGCTGTAAAACGCACCAGGATAAAGAAATAGCCCAGCTGGTAGACATGTCTGGCTCTTATGGCAGCTATTTAGTGTGGAGATTTTAATTTTCCTTGTCCAGTTTTGCTGACTAGATAATGTATTGCCTTGTGATAAGTCTCTGAACTTGTATTTTGCACTCTTAATAGTGTGGATAAAATTCTGATTCTGTAATTAAATGTGGTAGCCTCCGTAGCTAATCTGAGACAGATTGAGCAAGAACCAAACTTTTATTTGGAGTGAAGTCTGGTAGAAATGGAAATTTTAAGGCTGTGCACCTTTTCTGTGCATGTGATGATGGTACTGGTTTGTACACAGCTTGTCAACCTCAAACCTAAACTTGCTGTTCTCTGAAACAGTGCCAGGAAGGGCCTTTAAGGGTAGCCTAAGGGAAAGGAGGAACAGTTTTCCTGTAGTTGTAACTTTAGTAATCCAGGCATGCTATGAACAGATCAGTAGATTTTCTGTAACAGTATGAATTAATTTTTTAAAAGTTAAGAATTATCCAGATGGTTGGTGATTCTCATGAAGTGCCTCTATGCCTATGCAAAAGTACCAGTTTGATCACTGATATAAGGACTGTGAATCACTTCAGGACTTAAGGACTGTAAATAACTGAAATTATTTGTTCATTTTTCAGAATACTTTACTTCTACTTTTAAGATTCCTTCATCACTTTCTCTTGTTATAGTTACCAGTCTTCCCTTGAGTTCATCACAATACTCTTCCTTTAGCAAAGAGTCATTACCATTAAGGGAATTTATATACTGTCTCTGAATAAGCTTTTTCCTTCTGGTGGCTAAAACCTCTATTCATAGTTAAACAAGCTGAAAAGAACATGCAGAGGACAAATGCTTGCCAGTGCGATCACTACTAGTCTGCCAATGATTGTGAGCCCTAGATTTTACAAAAGCGGTCATGGACTTGTGTAATAATTCCTGTCCCCACCCAAGGATGCAACCTGAAATTCTTAACAGGATGAACTTTTTTATCCTATTAGACTTGCTCCTCCTCTTGTCCAGTTCAACCACTTGGTTAATCACTGGAGTCATAGGGGTTTTTTTTGCCTGACAGCCTTCCAGTTAGTCTATGCAGCATCAACAGAATTGTCTCTAATGTTTGTGAACCCTTTTATTTCAACACCTTTTCTTTAAAGCTTATTAAATACTGCTGGCTGAACTGTTGCCCAGCCTTTGAACAAGAATCTTGTTCTCCTTGTGTTCTTGCTGCACAAACAGCTGAAGAAGATGCATGCTAGGACTGAAATTTCCTGAGTCAGCCTTATCATAACTGACTGCTTCATCTTTCCAAAACATGTTTCAAGCTCCATTTAAAAAAGCTCCATCTGCTTAGTCTGGAGTAAGGGTTGGCAAAGAACTTAAGAAGAGTGAGGAATAGCCACACATGGTATTTATCACCAGGGTCTGGGCCACTGTGAAGTTTGTTCATAGTGCCAGTACTTAGTAAATCTTGCTAGTGAAAACTTGTTGCTGTGAATTTTGCTGTGCTGTACCCACAAGCTCTAGATATACAGTAGGAGCCTTGTGCTTATATTGTACAGAGGACAGTGAAACTACAGTTCTATTTAAATAAGTCCCTTCCTGTAAATCTGTTATGTGTTTGTATTTGCTTTGGATTTACAAGGGTAAAGTTGAAGCTTAGATATTACAGCTCATCCACTACTGTATGCTAATGTTAGCAGGCATATAAATAACATTTTTCTGTCATTTGGCTGTTTAAATATATTTCTTGTTTGCTGTACACATAGTTTTTTACTTGTACTACTGAAAACAGTCATATTGTAAGTACTGTTGGTGTGTGGAACATAAAAGCACCATACAACCATCATCTGGGTTCTCTGTGCTCCTCAATTTAGATGTTTTTAAGCTATATCTACTCTGAGACCAGTGAAATAATTGGGAATTTAATTTCCATTTAGGAATGGAATACCAGCTCTAGCTAAAACCATCAGATTAGCAGATCAGGAAGTTTCAGGCATTCAGTGCTGGGTGTACAAACTTCAGTCATTAGAATATTTGGTTTTAATCAGGTGTTGGTCAAGCACCTTCATCCACAACTGACCACTTGTAGGCTTCTGTAGTTTTCTGTGTGTAATGAAGCACGGTCAAGATTTCAATACCTGGCAGGTAAATGCTGACTAGCAATATTAGGAGAAACTCACCTGGGGGAAGCACATGATATTGATTGTTGTGAAATGGGCAGGAAAGGTCATCTCTGGAACTGTCAGTTCAATAACATGCAAAATACCAGCTGTAATGAAGTTTGGGTTGTTTTTTTTCTTAATGAAAGCCATGTTCTAGTTGCTGTTGGAGCTGGGATCTTTTTGTTGGGCTGATAATTCCTTCCTCATGGAAAGTGTTGAACCTGGGGAAATGGATAAGAGAAGCCTATGGTGCATATCCATGGAACAGTACCAGTGAGAAACAATTACTTGTTTTTTAAAAGTTCACAGACTAACAAGGGAGGTGGCAAAATCACATGTGAAATCCTGCAGACCTCCAGCCTCCCTTGCCCTGAAAATCCATGAGTAGGATTGAACCTGATGTTAAATGGCTTAAGGGATTACTGGATCACTGAAAGATGGTTAATTATTCACACAAGTGTCAGTTGACTTGGATGCATGGGTTGTGTCACATGGTTCATTTCATAATTAAAGTCCAAAAATTACTACTAGGTGCTGGAAAATAAATGAGCTTGATCACTTTTTCTTCTCCCCACCAAGAATATGTAGAAGCCCTTTTTTCTTTCTTTCTATGTCTTTTTTGTGTAAGTCTTCTGATCTTTTTCCTTTGTACTTCCCAATCTTCTGCTTGAGAGTTAATAGGAAAGCACTGTTCAGCACCTCTCTTGGTGTTTATTCACTTGGGATTATTGTTCAAGTGCCACAAAGCAGTATTCTCCAGTTCTGTGGAAGCAGTATTCTCAGCAATGAGCTGTAAGTATAGTGGCATTGAGTTTTCTCAGAAGCAAAGTGACCTTTCCTGCAATATACACTTCTAGTGTCACATTAGAAGAAACACCAATCTGTCTATTCCTTTTTCCTTTAAAAATTACCTTGCAGAAAAACTGCTTTGAACACATCAGGAGTGCTTTATCCAATACTAGTGTTAAAGTAATAATACAGCTCTTTGGTAGATTTTATTACCTTTTACTACCAACAGTGATATCCAAACTGAAAAGTAACATGAATGATCAATCAGATTTAGACAGTCCAAATATACATTCAGTTCGCTTCCATTTTCTTTGAGTGTTTTATAAATCCTAGAAGGCCAGGATGAAATTGGGAACTACTTAGACTCTAGTTTATTTTTTCAAATAATGCTCATGAGACAGTAAGAAATGATAAATTATAACTTCAGGAGTGTGAATTACGTAAGAAAAAAGCAAAAGATTGTGTAGGACAAAAAATATATTCTGCTTAATAAAGTGAAATTGTTGTGTTAACAGCAAAGGTTGGATCTTTAGTTACTAAAATCCTTTATCTAAGTAGGAAAAGTACTGTTAAAAGTGTCCAACTAAGGTAGCAGCAGTTACAGTGAATGTTAAAGATGTGATGGGTTGGAAGGGAGATCTCAGGGGTACAGTTTGTGATAATGTACTCCCAAATGAATAGGGAAACTTGCTTTGAAACAAGAAAAGCTTACTATTTTAGCTTTATATTATATTTATATTTTAGCTGTTTCATGGAGCAGCTATTGAAGGAGCTTGTTGGAAGAGAAGCAGTTTTTCATTTGGTCTTCAGTTGTGCTTAGGAGGCCTTCAAGGTGGTACAGTATGACGTGGTCCAAATATATGTATATTAAGATTTTATATTTTGCAAGCACAATTAAGAAAAATTAGTCCATTACAGTAGTGTTTAATCTCAGGATTATTGACAACATTGGGAACTTTGTGTAAAAACAACAAAAGCAGAACACACAACGTGAATATCTTTTCAGGACACTGTTAAAGCTCTGACTCAATGTATGGGAAATCCTTTAAAAGAATGAAGAAGGCAGTGTAGAAAAGACTACTGAAAGACATATTTTTAAAAGCACAGTTGGTATCCAAATGAGGAAGATGATGCACTGACTAGAGCTCTTTCAAACTGAACATAAAACAAAGATAAAAGGGTTTTGAAGAGAGTCTTCTTACAGCATAAAACCGAATCCCTTGCTTTCAAATGCAGCCCAGGTGAGAACCCTGCAGGAGGACATAACAGCCCAGAGGTGGGCAAAATGTGGGAGTGCAAAGAAAATAAAGCTATACTAGAAAAAACCTCAGTGACTTGTGTCTGCCAGAATTGAGCAAAGAGGCATTTTATGCTGAAAATTTCTCTTTAAGGGAGTCAAGCCTGGAGGACATATCTTACTGAAGTAAAATTCATAGAGGTACTAAAAATGACTGATTAAATGAGCAGTAACAATTCCTGAGATTTACAGTAACACCCAAGATTTCTACAAGAACATGAGAATGTTAGTAGCTGTGCTGTGCAATCTGTTGCTTAAAGCTGGTATAGTACCAGAGAAATGGAAGGCAGCAGACATGGTGGCAGGTCTTAAAAGAGCTTCCTAAGGATTAGCAAGTATTATCTTGAGTTCTTCTCAATGGTAGAAACAGCACTAAAGAGCAGGGAGCTGGTGGACATGTGAGCATATCTGGGGAAGAGTCAGCTTTTCAGAAGAAAATGTAATGCCTTGTGAAAAGGGAAAAGTCTTGAAGGAGATACTGAATTTGTGGATAAGTGGTGAGGTTGCTTATACTTATATTTAGATTTATAAAGACTTTAAGCAAAATCCTTCATAATAAGCATTTAAATAAAGTAAATCAATGTGGGAAAAGTGGGCAAGTATTTTTCCCATCATTTAATCAGTTATTAATTAATAAAATAATGAATCAGTTTCCTTGGTGGGGAATTCTGTGTTCAACACAATCATAAGTGATTTGAAAAAACAGTACATGGTTAGGTAGCATGGTTGATGATACCAAGTTATTCAGGATAAGAAAAATTAATGTACTGCAGAGAAATGAGGAAAAGTTTTACTATCATGAATGATAAAATAGGTGGTAATGGTAATAAATACAAAGTAGTACCCATGGGAGAATTTCATATGTACAATTTATGGACTCTAAATTTTACTGTTGTGATTCAGTAAAAACACATTGGAGCTACTATGGATAATTTAGCTTATTTTGTAAAGAGTGAGAAAGGCAACTGGCAAATGAAAATTTAGTAGGAAAGAAAGAAAACAAGCAATATCATTTGTGCCTCTACCCATATCTTTAAAACTTTGTGACTTTTGCTCATTCCAACAGAAGATGTCAAAGTCAATGAAAGATAAGAAGTGGCTTCTGTTCAGGACAGTAATTAGACTAGGATTTAGCTAGATTAGGATTTGGGGGCCTGGAAAAATGATCATTTAGGCAGGATGTATGGAAGCCTGTGAAATCATGGACAGCATTGAAGGAGCTAATAGGGAACATATGTTTACTCTTTCTTGTATTGAAAGAACTACAGAGAAGCCAATGAAATTACCAAGTGTCAAGCTGAAAATACAAACTACAGAGAAGCCAATGAAATTACCAAGCTGAAAATACGTACACAGAAGTATTCTTTGGCAATGCATCATTAAATCTGTGGAGTTCACTACCACAGAATATAATGGATGGTAATTGGGTTGAGAAGAGAGTAAGAGATCAACGGAAGAAGAAACCGTCAGGTCACCAAGGATGAAGAAGCAGTTTCTGTTTTGGATTTCCTAGAAGCAGGAAAAATATTCTGAGCTTATGTTTTTCATTATATACTTTGGGGGAGAACAGTCCTGGAACTATTTCCATAACTTCATAGGTAGTATTTTGTAGATTATCTTAAGATAACAACTCAATTCTGAAGAAGTATTTTTCACTTATTTTTAGAAATCACAAGCCACCAAACAATCTTCGTCATATTGTTGGGTGTTTTGAGAGGTTCTGTTTTGAAACTGAATTAGAAGATTTATGGTTTTCAGATTGTTCCCAGTTTCAGAGAGAAAATTATTTTTCCTACAAAGTGAAAATGTAATCTTATTTCAGACTTAAAAAAGCAGGTAGAATAGGGCAGATCACCAGCTTGGCACTCATTATAAGCTTGTCCTGCAAACTGCAATTTCTTTAGTATACTAAACTCCCAGGTTCAGGTACCTTGTTGCTTAACAAAGGCTGTGTTAAAGTCAAACACCTGTTCTCTTTTTTGTTTCCTTCCCATTAGTTATGGTGTGCTGCTTTGGGAACTGCTGACAGGAGAAGTACCATTCAGAGGAATTGATGGTCTTGCAGTAGCATATGGTGTTGCTATGAATAAGCTTGCCCTTCCAATCCCTTCTACGTGTCCTGAGCCTTTTGCCAAACTCATGGAAGGTAAGCCTGCTGTGGTGTGTGTGGTTTGTGCTGTTTCTAGACTGCTGTTGAGCATGGCCTCTTTGTGTTCGTTTTCTCACCTAAGGGCACAGATTTCTCCAGTGGCTTTATCCAATGGTGCAGGTGAGCCAGGCCTGACTGTAAGTGTGCTGTGACAGTCAGTCTACTACCAGAATAATGAAAGATTTTTTATTAACTGGCTCTGTAGGAAAAGGGGAGCTATTGCTGTTATCTCTTAGCTTGTTTTCTGGTAGTGAGGACTGACCAACACCAAAACTTGACATATTTAGGTCTTGTTTGAAGTCTAATTCGTTTTAAAATTCATAGCTCAAACATCTTGCTAATAGTGTCAGATTGGTTTGAAATGAAAAATTATCCTACTGACATTTCAGGGAGAGGTTTTAAATGTGGCTTTGACATTCCAAAACAATCCATATTTTCAGTCAGAATGATGTGATTTTCTGCTTTGTCCGTGGAGGTAGTTCGTGCCTAAGGTGGGCTACAGAGAGGTGAAAGAAATACAGGAGTTAGTCATCAGAGCTGCTCTAGTTATTAAAAAGGGTTGTGTGAGGTTATTTTCATGTGTACTTTGTGACCTGGTCTGCTGGCCATTGAAACTGCTTTCATGTCTCTTGAGCTTCAGTTGTTCCTCTCCATTTCTCCCCCCCTTTCTCCTGCCCTCTCTCTCTTACCTTCAGTATTTTTGTCAGTGTCCCTATTCCCAAAGATTTGTAGGTGTTTATATGCAATAAACATTTTTATACCCATCTGTCAGAAAGGAAAACAGATAAAGAGAAATCAAACTTGGTTTATATAGTCTTGGTGACCAAAGAATGAGTCTCAACATAGAATTGTTACTCTGTGGCCTCTGGTGGTGTTTCTAGCCTCAGGAAAGGAATATGAATCATAAAGAAAATGTTTCTGATGGATTTTTTTTCCCTGCTTTTGGAATACTTTTTAATTTCTCTGGTGTTTTCATTGGGTTACAGGCTACAGTTAATTTAAAATGAAACATTTCATGTATGTTCTGCTACCAAAGAAATATCCTACTGGACAGTAAACAATAGAGTTGCAGGTAGAGTAGCTTGGAGGCAGTGTAAAGTGAAAAACTCCATGTGAAAGAGTGGGTGAAACTACCAGCTCAGTGTTGTGCCAGGTAGTTTATTTTGACATGCCTTCCCAACATGCTTTTCTTATCTATAAGTGAGGATTTCAAAATCATGCCCTCTATTGGGAAAGTTGGGTGGAGGCATTTGGCCAGTGCCTGAACCCAGCAGCCCAGGGGTGAGAACCCGCGTGGCTTTGGAACACCTGGTTTCTCCGTGAGCAGGGGGAAGATGGGAACAAAAGAACCCAATTACTTTCTGCCCTTTCACCAAAGCTGTGTTTCAAACAGGCTGTTTCCCATCTCGGGTGAACTCTTCTTCCCCTAGTGGTGCTTTCACTTTTGAATTACTGCCATGGTGGTCTTCAAACAAAGCTGAACTTTCGCTCTTCACAGAAAAGTTATGTTAAAACTGTCCTCATTAGTGCAAATAATGGCTGATCTAGGCCTGGGAAAATAAAAGCCACGGGCCACCTGCTAGTTATCCTGTTCACTCATTCATGCATTTGGCTGGCTGCAGCATTTTGTTTTACTTTGGGTCATGTTTGCTTTGCCATGTTTAAAACCTGAGGTAAAGAGACAGGGATTATGGCACTGACAGTCTAGCTGTAACACCCATTGCTACTAATTGGCCAGCAGCAGGGGATCATCACAGCTCTCTTTAACATCCTCAGTTCTCTATTTTGAAAAAAAGAAGCAAATTAAGAAGCCATAAATACAAATGTATTTATGTATACAGGTTTTGTGAAGTGATTTTTATTTTTAATTACAGCTGCCCCTTGGTGTACTTCAGTTCACAAAACTGATGAATGAACTTCTTTTAGGACATCATCTAATATTTTTAACAATATTCCCTTTTTTTCTCACTTCAAGGTCTAGAAAACTTTTAGAACATTTTTTATAATTCATGTCTTGTGCTGCAGTAATGCTTGTCTTATGTCCAGTGACCATGTAGAGCAATGGTGTATATGAGAGAGACCCATGTGTTAGTTACTTCCATTCATGCTGAAAAGCTGTATTCCTTACAAATACATGTGAGTGTGAAGTTTTTGTGTTGGGTTGCTCTGGAATTTTGGCATGCAGGCATCTAGCAGTACTAAAGAGAATAAGGACACCTGAACCTGTGTAAGTGCTGGTACAGGACAACTTAGAATGAGAATGAGATTTTTTTTTTTTCTGCTGGAGTAGAAATTAGGGAAAAAGAAGAGAGAGGTCTGAATGAGTGCAAATTTTCTATTCAAAAGTGTTGTTAAATCAAATGTTTTGATGTCATGGTTTGGGAGATTGCTTGTAATGGATTGGGGGTTACTTCATACTATTTTCTGTTTCTGTGTTCAATTCCCATCACTGTAAAACATTGCCTTTTGTAGTGTTGCTCATTGAGCTGCTTTGTGTGGTAAGATAGCTACCTGCAGTTCTGTTTTTAGAGCTCTGTAATTGGCTGAATAATTGCACTAGATTGTAAATGAAAAAAACCTGTTTATATCTGTCGTTTCTCCTAAAAGCAAAAGAAAAATGACTGATTAATTTTCTCTCAAATAATAAAAAAGGACCTGTAAAAATGGGAGAACTCCAAATGCACCATTTGATGTCATTATTTACTTGAATCTCCCATTTTCACACAAGTTATGCCCAGTTTGCTTTGCAGGAGAGGTTTTCCGTTCTGAGAAAAGATTCATAATGACTCAGCTCAGTATTAGATTTTGGCATCAGGGAAATCCCTGATAGATATCCTCCTGCAGTATGACTGTTAACTCTGCAGTGTAACTATTATAAAAGAAGTATTTGCAAGAGCCTTGCATAACATTTCTACTCTGTGAACACATATATGCATCTTAAAGCAAAATGTTAAAAGAAATTATTTGTTATTTTTGAAAAATGCTTTGAGATGTACACTTCTGTAAAATTAGTAAATCCATATTTTACTTGACGTATTATTGCAATAGAACCTAGAGACCTAGGTAGTTAGGTAGTTCAAGATTTTAAGTGTTGTTGGATATTGTACAAGCATGAAAGCATGAATTCCGTATTTGACAATAGTCGGTGCAAGTGGGCAGTGGGAAAGCTGGGGTAACACAGGTAGTGTGTATGCCACTCTTAGCCACTGGGGATCAGTAAAGTACTACCTGTCCTCTCAGACCTTCATACTTAGAGATGCTTGACAGTTGTTTATCTTTATTCTGTTCTAGATTGCTGGAACCCTGACCCGCACTCACGACCTTCCTTTGCCACTATCCTAGACCATCTTACTGCCATAGAAGAGTCTGGTTTTTTTGAAATGCCCAAAGATTCCTTCCACTCCCTGCAGGAAGACTGGAAACAAGAGATCCAAGAGATGTTTGATCAGCTTAGAGCCAAAGAAAAGGTAAGTAGAGAGTAATGCTCCCTGCTTGGGCTCTCTGGATTGTAATTTCCCCATTTCATAGTTCAAATGGGGATCACTGTTTCATGCATCCCAGAGCTAATTTTGTCTGTGTTGTGCTGGAGTTTATATAATGTCCCTGAATCAATGGCAGGTTATGATGCACACAAGGGTAGAATCATGGGAAAAATAAATATCCACATCCTCAGCTGCTACTCTTTCTAATATTGTAGTGAGCTTCCATTATACTCTGTGCAAATTGCTGTGGTGAGTTGATTGTTTATTGCATTTGATAACTGTTCACTATTAGCATCTTAATTGAGAAACCCACTGAAAACTATTAACATGAGATGTAGGAGGGTAGTTTCAGCATGTATATACTCTAGTTAACATTGCAGCTTTGTTTCTGCTGGGTTTGTGTTTTCAAGGATTTGAGCACAACCAAAATGCATGGACTAATAAACATGAGTGCTACCAGGGGAAGGGTCCAGTAACTGCTATAACTGAAGTCCATCTGGGCAAATAGCAGGAAACAAAAATGTTAGCAGGAATAACAGGATTGATGACCATCAGCCTTGAAAAGGAGATGTGAAAAAGCTGACGATTTCTTCAAACATGCTTGCAGAGAGCAGCTTGCTGCATCTAATTTAAGGGCCTTACAGAGACTGTCTTTAGTTGGTAGTAAGAAAAACTGCAGCGGAACCAAAATTACTAGTGTAATAATATATTTGTAAGTTCACAGTTTCTTGCCTGAAAGTAAACTCATAACAAGCAGCTGTCTTGATTTGGGCTCAGAGGTTAGGTTTGGGAGGCAGAGAGAGAAGGAAAAGAAGACTTTGCGTGAGAGGAAAGAAGTCAGCTTCTACAGGAATACTTAAAATGTTTCTATTCATCTATTTTAGTAGCTTTTGGGAAAAATAAATTATCTGATAGGCATTTCCTTGCTACTGTTGTCCCATGATGTATCTGTGTTGGAACAGTTTTTGAAAACCAGAAATTTCAACAGACAAACAGTACTTAAAATGCACTGCCCTCAGGCTGGGTACTGTATTCCTCTTAAGCAATAGGGAAATAATTTTATATGCCATTCATTATTGAACTTATTGAAATCTCCCTAGTGATGAACCAAGTAACAATGCCATTATTAAAAACATCTAAACTAAAATGTATTTGATTATCTATCTGATGTTTAACTTGAATTAATTGAGGGAGTTTTTGCCTTCTGCACTAGAATTGGCCATCTGGAGAGAATTATTCAAAGGGCTGAATTCTTTTGTCCTTGTGGTGGGAGGAGAGGAGCACAGTGGGATTTTGGGATTTCAAGGACAGTTTCAGTCAATTCGTTTTGTCGGCAAGGGATAGATCGAAAGGTTTGCCTTATGTGCCATTGCCAGGACCATGCTGAGATGGCTTTTGAATATCCCCAAGGAGGGAGACTGCACAGCCTCTCTGGGTAACCTGTGCTGGTGCTCAGTAATGCAGTAAAAAAGGATTCAGAGAGTGTCCCCTGTTTTTCAGTGTGTGCTTGTTGCCTCTTGTTCTGCCACTGGGCACTGCTGAAGAGAGCCTGACTTTATCTTTTTTTCACCCTTCCTTTGGGTTTTTATATACATTGGTAAGATACCCCTTCACCCCACCCAAGCCTTCTGTGGGCTAGGATGAACAGTCCCATCTCTCTCAGCCCTTCCTCATAGGATAGATGCTTCAGTCTCTTAATCACCTTCATGGCCCTTCATTGGACTCTCTCCGGTATGTCCATATCTGTCTTGTACTGGAGAGCCTAGAATTTGACACCGGATTTCAGGTGTGGCCTCACAAGTGGTTGTGTCTGAATTTTAATACTGGTACGAGGGGCTTTGAATAGCAAGCATTGAAGTCCTTGAGGATTGTTTTTGGCTCTCAGCTGAGCCTTTAACCAGTGGTGTTTGTGGTTCTGTGAGTGAAAGCCATTGAAGTTGTGCTTTCAGAACCAGTAATGTTAGTCTTAACCCACAGGTCACAAGGCAGCCTTTTGTTTCTACGTTCTTATCTCCCTGCAGGAGCTGCGCACATGGGAAGAAGAGCTGACTCGTGCTGCTGTTGAACAGAAGAACCACGAGGAGCTGCTACGAAGGCGGGAGCAGGAGCTGGCAGAACGCGAGATTGACATCCTGGAAAGGGAGCTCAACATCATCATCCACCAGCTGTGTCAGGAGAAGCCTCGGGTCAAGAAACGCATGGGGAAGTTCAAGAGGAGCCGGCTCAAGTTAAAGGATGGCAATCATATCAGCTTGCCTTCAGGTTGGTGATGTGGTGACATGGGAGTAACCTGTAGGTTTGATACTACTGACCCTTATGCACTAGAAAGGATTTGATGTACTTCAGGAAAAACATGACTCTTTGGGATCAATAAACTAGATTTAATGCTCTTGTGGCTAGCATTGCCCAAAGTTCCAATATGAAGGCCAGAAGTAAATTTGAAATGCAACATGTTGGTTAGCCGTTGGCTGTATGTGGCTTATTGTAAAAATGTGGTGTTGCAGTTTAACATGTTAATACTCAAAATAATCAGTTTTTTAAAGGAGGTACATAGAAGATGGTGATGCTCGGGAAATATTTTACATAATGCTGCAGGAGAAACTATAATCTACTGGATTTTTTTTTGGTGTAAAAAATTATCAAAAATACATTGATAGCTGTGACACTGAATCCCTAGATTGGTAGTTCATATGTGAACTTCTGTTAACACTGAAGCAACTTCTGGAAGAAATGTTAAATATTAGTAAGGTGTTGGCAAACTTACTACACTCTTAAGAGTGAAGATGCTGATATTCAGAAATATTGAATCCTTAGCATTTCTTCTGCAGATTCTTTATGGAGATTTAAATTTGTCAAAAAAACAAATGTCTGGGGTTTGTACATCACCTAGTGCTCATTGTTACATCAGGGATGGTGACTTGCACTATATTCTTTGTTTTCTGGGAGACATTGGCTGTTCAGAAGAGAAATTATGATAAAATATGTATGTTGCCTATGCCTTTCTTTAGGTCTGCAAACACCTATTTTTGGTGTTGCTTAATAAAGTGAGAGGTAAGGTGCTAGGATTTATACAGGGATATAATTTGGCATGTCACTCAGCACAACGTCTGTGTGTATGTGTTTCACACATACACTAAGAAGATACATTTTCAGGGCTGTGAGTGCACATCTTTTTTCTGAATTCTTATTGTGTACAATGGGCAAATAGCAATTAGCTGTAAAACTACATTTCTACATAGATCTCATAAGTTGCACTCTTTGAAAGTTACCATAAATTGTTATTTCTTTTTTTCTTATATTAAAAAAGAGAATTTTAACTGTGTCTTTCTACCTTTTTTTCTTTTGATAAACAGATTTTCAGCATAAATTCACTGTGCAGGCTTCTCCAACGATGGACAAAAGGAAAAGCTTGATCAGTAGCTGCTCCAGCCCTCCTGCAAGTCCTACCATTATTCCCAGACTCAGGGCCATACAGTGTAAGGAGCTCAATGTAATATTGAATTTGGGAAATGTGCAGTCTGTCAGTGTGGTAAGATGCCAAGATTCCTTATCTAGGACAGGACTGTTACAGAAAGCACTTAAAATGTTTGCCTTGTGCCTTGCATGTATACATTTGGAGAGAAAAATGGAGTGTCTTAGTCATGGAGGAAGTACCACCTGATTTGGAGCTAAAACCATGCCTACTCAAGTTTGTGAAATACTGCTGTTTCTATAGAAAATGTATTCCATAGGTATACAGGTTAATTTGAAAAATACTAATTTGCAGAGTAGATCTGTAAAACACTGCTGTAGTGTATTAAGTTACTGTTTTAAGAAAATAAGAACAAGGGCACTTTTCCTGCAAATAATGTTCCCCCAATAAAACTGCATGAGGCAGACATACATGTCTTAGAATTATGAAAGTCGTGTTTACTGATATATAGTGTTTGTACTAAATATTACAGCACTTGTGTGTTTGGTTTCAAACTGGTGGTTCTAAAGAGAAACTGGTGATGGAATAAAGCTGGGGAGGATACCTATACTTGAAAGTATTAGGGAATGCTTAATTCAGCATTTGGTTGTTAGATTTGTGTTGATAAATGGTCAGAATTATGGGAAAATCACTTTTGTTACTATTACTCTTCTGCCCTATGTTTTATTCTTTATGTTGCCATGGAACCAGTTCTTTTAATCTGTGTATCTGTTTTTCCTTCCCATTTTCCACTGTTCTTTCCATTTGTGAAGTGACACCTGCTGAAAGCAGTAAAACGTGGGGACGAAGCTCAGTCCTTCCAAAGGAGGAAGGAGAGGAAGAAGAGAAGAGAGGCCAGAAGAAAAAGGGACGCACTTGGGGACCAAGCTCACTATGTCACAAGGAGCTAGGTGCAGGAGAAGAGGGGTAAGAGAGGGCCTGGAGGAAGACTCATTTCTAGGTTCTAAAGGTGGTCATGAGCTGGCTCACAGGATATTTGCCTACCCGTTTGCAAACGCCTTTCTGCTTCCAAACTTCTTTCCCGTGCCAGAGATGTTAGAAATTCAGAACAGTTTACAAAATTGCATTCAGTTCATTTGCCTAGCAACGGATGTTTCACTGTCTGGTATTACATTGTTAGGTGTATTTGTAAGCTGTCAAACTTCTTAGCTGTGCAATACTCTGTAATAGTTCTTCTCTGTTTTAAGGCTCAGCTTTCTATAGTGTCATTGTCTTAAATTCTAGTATATAAAAAGTGCCTGGTAAAGCCAAGCAAATATCTTCTCTTAAGTCTTTTAAAAACGACATGTGCCTTGAGTGAATCAGTCCTGAAAGTGACTTTTGCAGAAATACAGGTTGTACCTCTGTTTCTATAGGTTGTTGTTCTGTGGCTTCTTTTTTTTTTCCTTTGTTTGTGTGAATTATTTATACCAGGACTCCAATGAATCATTCCTGGAATGCTGCTTTAAACATGGGGCTATTTTGGCCTTCTAAAAGATTTGAATGCTTGGTAATTTTTAGTAATGTTTGAGTGTTTTCCCCCTGATAAATTGATGGTTTGACTCTTGCCATGTTTTTAGCAGGGAAAATAAAATAGCTGGTTATAATCTTTATCTTTACTATAAGATAGTAAAGATAAAGACTATATGTGGTCAGGTGTGAAATGCCTGAAAAATTGATGTTTGCATAGTGCATCAGTATTATAGTCCCCTGCAAGAGGACCTGGATCTATTAAAACATGTTCTCTCTCTGAGATACTCAAGACATGTTGGCAGGACAATATGGAGGAAGCTTCATTTGCTGCTGGCTGTGCTTTACCTGTTCTACAAATGAGGGATAGGATAGCATTCTAAGGAATTACAACAGATGTCACACTTTACAATCATTAATTATGTAAAAGGTGGGGAGATCACTGAAGCTGGAAAAAAACATTTCTACCTTGAAATCACGTTCTTAGAATTCTGGGAATAGACCTCTTCCATTTTCTATTCATTACTTCTCAGTAGGAAGCGCTGATTGCTTTTGGGCACAGACAGCTGGAATGGAGTTGCTTGCAAACTGTGGTTGCTCATAAAACTGTGCTGAGATGTTCTGTAGTACTCAGAGTCTCTCCTAGGGAGACTTGATATGGATATCGCATTTTGCAGAGTGTCTGAAACATGAGACTTTTGCTGAGAGGGCAGTATGGCTAACATACAGCGAACCACTCCTTGCTGAGGTCATGCCAGACTGCAAACTTCAATTTAAAGGGAGCAGAGTTGCAGTAAATATTAGTGATGCAAAAGATAGTTCTTGATATTTTTTAGTTTCTTATTTTATACAGGGTAAGGCAATAAAACTTCATTGAATATTTAAGGTTGAGAAAGACATTTAAGATTGAGTCAAACCATGAACCTACACTGCCTTGCTCACCAATAAACCATCTCTCCAAGTGCCACATCCACACATCTTTGGAACATTTCTGGGGATGGTGATTGCACCACTTTCCTGGGCAGCCTGTTCCAATGCCTGACCACCCTTTCTGTGAAGAAATTTCTCCTAATACTTAAGCTAAACCTCTCTGGGTGCAACTTGAGGCCATTTCTCTTGTCCCATGACTTGTTATTTGGGTGAGGAGGCTGACCCCACCAGGCTAGACGCTCCTTTCAGGAAGTTGTAGACAGTGATAAGGTCTCCCCAAGCTCCCTTTTCTGCAGGTTAAACAACACCAGCTCTCTCAGGTGCGCTTCATACACGTGACATTCCCCAGCTCCGTCGCCCTTCTCAGAACATGCTCCAGCTCCTCAGTGTCTTTCTTGTACTAAGGTCCCCAGAACTGAACACAGGATTCAAGGTGTGCCCTCGCTGGCTCTGAGTACAGGAGAACAATCACTTCCCTTCCAGGATGCTGTTGGCTTTCTTGGCTACCTGGGTGCACTGCTGGCTCATGTTCAACTGCCTGTTGACCAGCATCCCCAGGTCCTTTTCCATCAAGCAGCTTTCCAGCCACTCATCTCCACTGATGGGGATGAGTAGCATTGCATGGGGTTGTTGTGAGTGAAGTGCAGAGCCCAACACTTCACCTTATTGTACCTTATACAGTTGGTCTCAATTCATCATCAATGCAGCCTGTCCAGATCACTCTGCAGAGCTTCCTGCCCTCCAGCAGATCAACACTTCCACCCAACTCAGTGTCACTGCCAAATGGCTGATGCCCTCAATGCCCTCACCCAGATCACTGATAATTCCAAGTTTATTCGAGAATAGCGTTGTGAGAATTGCAGTGACCTATAATTAACATCAAGTAAAGGCAGTCATGAAAAGATAATACAATGATTATTAACACTTCTCTATCTTTGAACCTAAAGAATATGCACAGCAGCAGAAGAGTTTTGTACTGAGTTGCAGAGACTGGATGAAGCTTTATGTTGGACTAGTTCTGTGGCAGTTCAGTTGTGATCTTACAGTGCATTCTCAATGATGTACTATGAACTTTTAATTGTCTTTAAAATTGGCATTGATTAGTCACAGGCTTACTATGGCACAGGTGATGGTCACCCTGCTTTTTGTTCAGGTTAGTAATTTTACAGAAGGTGATAGTGAATGTAACTTAAAATCCTTTGGCAGTTATATCTTAAAATCTTGAAAGCTGAATAGGGGTGAGCCTGGCAACAGCCTTTTTAAAATTCACCATAGTATTGTATTAATGTCTTAACATGGTATTACAGAATGGTATTGAGACACCAGACATGCTGTCTTAAAATTGCAAGGACATTTTTTGCAATTTGCTGAGCAAATAAACCTTGTCATCTTATCATTCTAAAAAAGAGGTTCCTTTGACTTCCCAGTAGAAAAAGGCAACAGAAAAGTGACTCAGTCATAATACAACAAAGTAAGTAACAACCTTCTGATTTGTTAATCTAAATAGATCAGAGGTAAGAAGTCTTTAGGTTCCTGAGTTTTATGTTGGTGATTGAAATACAGTTTTAGTGCTAGTGCTTTTGAATCATTGCAGTTGCTCTTTCCTTAGGGCAATAGCAGACAATACTGCTCTAGTAGGAGCATTCTCTAAGTCAGCTTGTTTTGAATTGCTTTCAAATGCACACCACTGTCTAACTAAAAAGATGTGCAGCAATCTTCTGAACAGGTCTTTGAGATCTGCTTGTAATTTGGGGGGAAAAGAGAAGGAGCAAAAAATAAAAGGAAGGATGAAAATTTTATAACCTTAAGGCAAATGTAGGTGGCCTTGAAATTATTCTGGTAGCTATTTATCTTCCTGTTCACACTGAGCTGCACTTCGACAGTAACAGCAAACCTTCAGTCTGTTCTTTGCAAGGGAAGATTGCTCTGAGAAGTCAAAAAGGAGGAAACTAAGTCGAGTTTGTGTTTTCCCAGCTCTGTGGAAGTTTCACCTTCTTCAGTAGTTCTCTCTGCATATTATAAGAGCTTTGAGATTCAGTTTTGGAGGTTAGCAGTTTCACACTATTTTCACTCACCAGCTTTCCCATAATATGCATCTCTGTTTATAGCATGTATCCTAGGTAGTCATGTTGCACACCTGGGTAATTCAGATCCAACATACATTATTTGGTGTGTTGTGCTACACAGCTGGCTTACACAGCTGTGGGGGGAGTAAATCAGAACAGATGCACACACTGAATGGCATGTGTGTTATAAAACCTGGGGTTGTCTTGACAAATAGGGTTCAGTGCTGTGCAGTCGATTAGAGATCGCAGCAGGGCACTTCATGTGCCAGGATGGTTAATGAGGATGCCTTGCAATGCAGTTGAGCAGTGCACAGGATACTTTTAGTGTAATGTCTATACCACCGTCATCAACCAACTGATCATGTGCTGGATCAAGTTTAGGTCCTGTGGCCTTGCTGTTGCTGCAGTATTGTTGACAAGTACAGCAGCTCAGCTGGGTAGAGAGTAGAGGAAAAACTCCTACCAAGGCAAAAAAATACCCCCATATAATAAACTTTTGAAATCCTGGAATGGAGGCTATCTTAGAAATGCAGAATAATTGTGATGGAAAATAAGAATCATGAGAGGTGACTTACATATGGTTTTATTTCCCTTTCTCTTTAAGGGAATAATGGTAGTGAATTATGTGGCTTACCAAAATACAGTGCAAGTTAGTAATGGAGTTGGAAGAGATCTTATGTTTGAGTTTTCTGTTCTTTCAATAACAAATTGATGATTTTGTGTGTCCAGTTGAGATCATTCAGACTGTCTGCAGATCTTTTTATTCCTTCCATGTAATTTCTGCCTATCTTCAGTGTGTGTGACTTTTCACCAACACTGTGATGTTTCATGTTGGAGTTTGTGGAGAAAGGCACAAAAATTTTTCCATTTCAAACTATGTTGATAAATGAATAATAAAACATTGAATATTGATATATCAGAAAGTTTTGCTGCTAGCCAAAGTTGTTGACATGTCTGATGTCATGAAATTAGCGCAGGATGATGATAATGAAAACCTATGAATAGAGATCACTGATAAGTTCAGGAGCCTGGTAACATACGTTTAGACACAGGCCAAAGTAGGGATTTGGGTTTGGGTTCTTGTCTTGGGCTTTTTTTGTTTATAAGTAAAAGAAACAATGACATGGTTTATACATTTAGTTACCTTTTAGTTACCTTTTTCCCCACAGTCTAGAACTTGTGCTTTTAACTGTACTTCAATACTGTGTTTTCTTTATAAGAAAAATGTTGGGGTTTATGACAGAGGGGCATGGCTTTGCTGTTACAGTGACTTTAGCTTATTATTTTATTTGTCCTAGTGAGTGATGTTTGAATTTCATTGTTCATTTGTGTTTCACATGAAAACATTTTTGGAGGTGTTTTCTCCTGCCCTTGCTGAGCAATTTATTTTTTACCTACCATGGTAAGATTGATTGCAAAAAGGAATTAAGATTTAAAAAGGTTATGCCTTGATTTAAAAAGAAAATTTTTCATCTGATTTTTGTAGTGGTGCCTTCTATTATTCTGCATTCATAGCTTGCTGGTTATCAGCAGGGGCCTTTTGACTGCCATAGCATAACACATGAGGAACAGACCTTTTTTTTCTTATTTCCTCTTTTTTTTTTCTTTTAAAGTGCTTTAAAGATGTCAGAAAATTTCTTGCTGTGGGAGGACTTCAGATCTATATAGTTGAGATGGATACAAGCATACCCTAAGTAAATCAATAGAGAATATATAAGGGAGGGGAGAATGGAAACTGGTTGTGAGCATGGTACATTTTCTCACATCCTTCTACTATTTTCAGTCTGAAAGCTCTGGTGGAAGGATGCAAGCAGTGGTCATCAAGTGCACCAAATCTTGGGAAGATCCAGAGAACTGCACCTGCTTTTCCAGGATTCACCAGCTTAGCAGAGATGGGTAAAAGAATTCTCTGAACTTGGTACTGTCATCCCCACTGCCATTCACATTTCAATGAACCTGTTTCCTGACCTTCAGCTGGTACCTTACAGCAATGTTTTAATTTTGTTCGGTATCTGTTTTTCTTTTTCTCTATTCTTTGCCAAGTATCCACTTTGTCCTTATGGATTTTCTTCTTTTTCTCCTCACTGCTTGTGCTTTTCCCTCTATCAAGCTAACAAGTTTCTGTTAATTCTCCTCTAGCTCCATGCTGTCTCTCAGCTCTTCTCCTGAGTAATGATATTTACATGTGCTGCATGCTTACACCTTCACTTGAAAGGAGAAATCCTTAAAATTTTTCTGCATTTTGCTTCTCACTCACAATCACACAAATTTACTCTAGAAGTTACTGAGTTGTAGGTTGCCTTTGAAATGCTGTTCTGCAATTAATCCCAAGTGGATGAATGATTTCTTTCACTGGGATAGTGTTTCCAGTTACTTCTCTCAGCCTGTCTTCTTTGGAAACAATAGGCTGTATTTGGGAGTTGATAAATGATGTTTGTGAGGAGAACAGTTACATCTTCTGAGGAGAATCTTATTTTGAAGTATATTTGTGAGACAATGAAATTTGCCAGTGAAAATGTTACATTGACACAAAGTCTATTTTCATTTGCTTTCCAGATGATGAGGATAGTGAATGTTTTAATGGAGAGGGCAAAGTGCACCCTTCACCTGTGCACAATCAGTCATACCTCTGCATCCCATTTCAGAAGAATGAAGAATGGGATGGCCCTTCTAGTGATGCCAATGAGGAGTCCACCCCTGTAAACTCTGCTACCAGTACCCCACAGCTGACACCCACCAACAGCCTCAAACGTAGCGGCTCCCACCACAAGCGATGTGAGATTGCATTGCTTGGCTGTGGAGCAGTGCTGGCTGCTGCAGGCCTGGGTTTTGATCTCTTAGAAGCAGGGAAGTGTCAGCTGCTGATTGAGGAAGAGCCAGAGGTGCCCAAGGAAGAGAAGAAGAAGCGTGACAGCATTTTTCAGCGAGCTGGACGTCCACGCAGGAGCACGAGTCCACCTTCCCGGAAGATCTTCAGGAAGGATGATCCCCTGTTGTTGCTAGGCGAGCCATCCACATCCCTCACCCTTCTTTCCCTGTCTTCCATTTCCGAATGTAATTCCACCCGGTCCCTGCTGCGCTCAGACAGTGATGAGATTGTGGTTTATGAGATGCCTGTCAGCCCAGTGACAGTCAAGGCTCCCTTGCCAGCCATTACAAACCCACTGGTCAATGTGCAGATCGAGAGGTTCAAACAAGACCCCAACCAGTCCCTGACTCCCACACACGTGACAGTCTCTTCCCACACCCAGCAAAGTGGACACAGGCGCACGCCTTCTGATGGAGCCATCAAAGGGGGTGGACTGGTTGTCAATGGGTGCCCAACCAGTGGATGCCCTTCCAGTAGCTGTTTAACTGGAGCACTGGGAACAGGTAGGTTTTCAACCATCTTCCTTTTCCTCTTCAGAGTAAAGACAGAAACAATATAATTGCTTGTTGCTTATACATTCGTTGAGATGACCAGCCCACAAGAATTGCTTGTGGAGCCTATCTTTATACAAGTAGCTAACAGAATAATGCGGTAATGGTTTTGGTTCCAGCATCTTCAGATTGCCATAATCTTGAAGATACAGTGTTTGTAGATTCTGAATAAAGGCTTTCTGCTTTGAATATGTTTTTGCACTGTATATACAATAAACTAAGATCTGTAGGAACCACTTAGCAATGACAGCTAACATGTTTTTCCCTCTTCTCTTACATTGTCTGTTTTGGATAGGTGTATTAAAAACACCTAGTCCAAGCAGAGATCCCAGTGAGGTCCCTCGCTTGCCAGACCCCAACCTTGTTTTTCCTCCAACCCCAAGAAGATGGAATGCACAGCAGGATCCCACACTGGAAAGACCCAAGACACTGGAGTTCCTACCCCGGCCACGTCCTGCAGCCGGTCGGCAGCGGCTTGATCCCTGGTGGTTTGTGTCACCCAGCAATGCCAAGGGTGAATCTTCTGCCAACAGTTCAAGTACTGATACTCCAAGCAATCTTGACTCTTGTTTTGCTAGTAGCAGCAGCACTGTAGAAGAGAGACCTGGACTGCCTGCACTGCTTCCTTTCCAGGTGGGTCCTCCTGCAGAGGAGCGGACACTGTTGGACATGGATGCTGAGGGGCAGAGCCAGGACAGCACCATTCCGCTATGCAGAAGTGAACTTAACACACACAAAGCTGCAGCATATGAACTCAAGCAAGAATTCTGGTCTTAATATGAAACCACTGGGGGCAATGAGCTCCTCTAAATTCAATCCTACTTTTTGCACTGAGAATGCACTTTGAAAACAGATGAGATGGAGGGATGCTACAGAGATCATATGGTGCTGCCTCTGCTGAAGATGTGTTGTCAGCTGCCTGATTTTTGTCTGCATTTGGGTGAAACTTGGCAACTCTGAGCTGCTGACTTTTGCTGTGGGGTTTTCCTGTAGTCTTCCCTACCCTCTTATTGCAGTTAGAATCTGCAATGAGCTGAAATTATCATATCAAAGTCTTTTGTTACTGACCTTGTAGGATTTGGCACTTGGCAGTAAGTATATCGGTATCCTGGTATTAATCAGTATTTTCAAATAATATTCAAATATTACACTACAGCAAACATCACTGTTTGATGTTTTCCCAAGGAATCCAGAACAAAAACAAATAAATGTCTGGAGACTACCTTCTCTGAAATACATTCAGATCATTAGACAGGCCTGGGAATCATCATACCCCCACTGAAATAGCAGAAGTAGCTATCTTAAGACTTGTTTGTCCTCTTTTGCTCATGTGATAGCGTAAGGTGGAACAGATGGCAGGGGAAGGGCATGGCATCTCCACTGGCGGAGGTCTTTGAGAGCAGGTGAACCAGACTGTTGGAAACAAGTAGGTGTAGCTGATCCTGGCTTCAGGGTAGGTTGGATGAACTTCAGTGATCTCCTGAGGTCCCTCTCAGACCTATTTATTTTATGACCCTGTGCTTTCAAGATGAAGGCTTACAGTATAGCTGTTTAGCTTGGAGGTTTTTTGTTTCAGACTTTCATTCAATCAGTCTCTTCTTCCCACCCTGTTTCTCAGGCTCATAGTCAAGTTGCCTCAGCTTTGGGAGGGGAGTTAGCAGAAACTTTCTTTAAAGATGTGTTGGCTTGCAGAAGGAAGTAAGTTATGTGTTTCCAAATATTTTTCTTTCATTTTTTTTCTCCTTTCTTATGCCTTTCAGGAGTGACCCATGAAAACCAAGATTGTTCTTATGCACACTGGTACTTGTTTAAGGCTGTTTTGAAAATGAGGCTTGTTAGTAGTTGGATTGTGCAAACAGGAATCAGAACATCTGGATTCTGTTTTATTTTGTCACTGACTCACTGTGTGACCCTGGGCAAATAATGTAACCTCTGTGCCTGAATTTCCCCATCTGTAAATAATAGGAATAATACCTACCTCACAAGGGGAGGGGTTGGGACATATATAATAGGTATAAAGTCCTTTGAGATCTTTGAGTGAAAGGCACTATAGATATGTAGAACTTTATTCTTGTTCAAATATGTAAACACTCCTAGATCTGGAGCAAGAACAGACCCCTGTCTCGAAGGAGGAAGGCACACGAATAGGGTGTGCCTGTGCTCAGAGTTTTCTGTACAAAGACTTCAAGTGTGTCTGTGCCACTGCAGATATGTCTTACTGGCTGTAATGAGAGCTTCAATCTTTCCCAAATTTGGCATTATATATAAGGGATGTGGCCTTTATGTGAGTGTAATAGGGTAGTCTGCTTTATTGCAGGGTACAGCATGTCTGTCTGTTCACTGGTTTTGTACAGATCTGTTCTTGTTTTGGTAATCTGCTGATATTTGGTTGCAAATAAGTCATTTGACAGTGCTGCCAATGCAGTGCTTAGCCTGTTGGGGCAGTCCAGGCCTGCTGTGAAGGCAGTAGAGCCCAATAGTTCCTGCAGCTGTCAGCACAGTGAACTTGTGTGTTTAGATGTTTGTAACCTGATTTCAAAAACCAGCATGTTTGAGGAAGAACTGTATGTAAGGCTTTTTAGTTCTGTGTGAGGACTGAAACCAGCATGTTCCCATTAGTCAAGTGCACCTTTTTTATCAAGGAATTACAGTATATTTTGTTTTGAAAGGTCACATGTTTTTTATTTATCACATTCCATGGAAAATGCTTAATGGCAGAATTACTTTCTGCTGCCTATTAAATGCTCCAGAGCTAGCCTTAATGGTGCTACACATAGATGTTGAAGCTGGAGAGACTGTTGACTGTTTAGACAAGGTATTATGATAAGGCAAGATGGGATTCAGATACTTAAAGAAAACATTTCTGACTATTTTGTTAAATTTAGACCTTCGGCATTATTGATTTCTTAAGCATCCTTTTGCTTTCCATTTCTGAAAACTCAGCTTGTGACCCAGACATTAGCAAAAAGGCAAAACTCACGCAACAGATTGCTAATTTTGATTGTGCTATAAATCAACCTTAATATAATCTCAGTAAGAGGCTGTGTCAGAGGGATTTGAAAGGACATGAAAATAATTTATTTTTTGTAGTCTTCCTTATAATTTTAAAAAGTCTGGAACAAAACTGGATCAGCTGTTCTGAAATGTTATGTTTTCTATCCAAAAGGTATCATTATAAATGTCATAGTGATAGTATAGGGATAAAATGTTTCTAAATCATGGCATATTCAGGGGAGTTAGAAAGGAAGGATAGGCCTGGTAGGCCCTGGGAAAATATTAAGGTAGGCCCTGAAAAAATGTTAGGCTGCACCTATATAATCATTTAATGACTATGATAAATTATATGATAGATGCGATGATGTTTGGTAATTGTATATAATTATTGTCTAATCGTAACAAGAATCATGAGAAACGATGTTGGGGGGGTTTGATGGAAATTACAAAAATCCATGCTTGGATGAAATCAATATATACAAAAGAACAATATAAATTTAATAATTAATAAGTAGTCATATAACAATAAGGGTATAAAAATGTGTTCTACCCAAACCCATGTCGAAGTCAGATTTGGGTCTGTGCCTCTGACACCCAGAGCTCTTCAGTAAAAGCACCTGCATAATCATTCCATGATTATAGGTTCCTGAATGCTAACCACAGGGAGAATCATCTGCTCTGCAAAGGCATCACCTGGAATAGCTCCCTTTCAACAGAAATCTTTCAAATCCATTTACTTGCATGAAATGGGAGGACACCTTTCTAGGTCACACTATATAACTGATGTAACTCAGCCTGCTGAACTTTGTAATATTTGGCCAGTTGATTTCACTAAGTGAACTTATAAGGTTTCTGTCAAGTTCCCAGGAAAGACAAACATAAAGGCAAGTTGTTCAGTCATCTCTTTTACTTAGGAAAGTTGAGGATGAAGAATTAACCACCGCTTGCCCCTTTCCCCCTTTTATATAATCATTTGGTCAAGGTGGTATGTAGCTGAACTTTGACAAGTCCTTTGCTCCAAAGGGTATCTTCTCTAATGCCAAGTGGACATTGCTACATCAAAAAACTTGGTAGGACAGATGAAAGAGTCAAGGATCCAGGTCGAGGTTACCAAACTAGATACTGTTATTACAAAGCTGCCAGACAGACTAGTTAGAAGCATACTGGCTGGTATGTGTTTGTTTTGTGGTTTTTATTTGGGTTTTATTTTAACCTTTCTTTGATGCAATTATTGTCATTGAATCTAGCATGTGAATTAACCTGAGGAAGTCTTTGAGCATCCACCCATAACTGTCTTCCAGTGGCCAACCTGAGGTATCAGGCAAGAGGAGTCAGTTGTGGAAACAAGGCTCCTGACTTCAGTAGGTGGTGGGGTATTCTCTGGCAGGCAGAGATGGGGCTCTCAAGAGTTGTCAGGTATCTTACCTTATGCACTCCAAAAGCTTTTGCAGCCAGTGTCCTAAGGTCCAAAGGCTGTGTGCATGTTTAAGCTAGGTCAAAACCTCTCTCCCCATCCATCTGTCCCATCCTGGCTTGAGTTCTCTGCTTTCTTAATCTGTTGGGGTTTTTCCTTCCCATTTGTGGGACCTCCAAATCTTTAAAGAAGTGGTTGACTCTATTCCACTAGACAGTGAGAAGATGTGAGCCCATCAGCTCAGAAATCTGGTTTTTCCTACTGATTGCTAGTATTTCCAGTTGTCAGGGAAACAAAAATGTCAGAATATTGGTCATTGACCTACCTTTATAGTAGTATTCTTGAGAAGATGGTGAAAATCTTACTTAAATTTTTTTCTAATAATTGTGTTGCTTCCTAAATGTGTGAATAAGTTGCACTTTTGTTTTGTCTGAGAAAATGAGAAAAAGAAAACATGAACATCACAGAGCAGTCTAAAACAATGACAAAAGATTGGAGAAAAATATGTTTGAATACAAGCCTTACAAAGAGGAAGTGGCAGTTTTTTAACTGATAGTTATAATGAGATTGTAGCTGAGAGAAATGTTTGTGGTTTAGAAATATATTTGTATTTTTGTTTATTCAGCTGGTAGTGTGTATCACTAATTTATGTAATTGATGTGCTGATTTAGGAATTAGAAAGAAGTATGTCAGCCCTTCAAAGTATGCTATCCTTGCAGCCTGTTTAGTTTTCCTGTAATCGGAATATAATAGAGATATTGGGGAAAGGCACAGACATAGCAACCAGTGCAAAAAAGGACAATTTTTTTGTTAAATTTCTTCTGGTTTCATATAAATTGAGTGTGGGACAAGTAGAGAGAAGAAAGCTTTTGTGTCAAAACTAAGGCGATTAAATAGTTACAGATTCTTTTCTAGTACTGTTGCTTCTTTTACAGCAAGTAGGTCTTAATCTCCTCTCAGTCATTTTCAGCGGTGCAAATGTAACTTTTTATACATACTTTGACTCCACTTTATTATTGCAATGGGTTGATATTCAGTATGGGGCAGGGAACCTTAGTGAAAATACTCTTTTTGTAGTAGTTTTCTAACAAAATGAGTATTTTTAAATGAATTTTTTGTTATTGATGGGGAAAGACCTGTTCTGGTGTGGCATGGTTTTATGATGACATTTTTTTCTATACCTCTAGGAATGGGAGTAGTTGCCTTCCTCTTCATAGCATGCTGTTATCTTAAGACATTGTGGACAATACTGCATAGAGATGTAACTTCGATGTGTCACAAAACTGGACACCTCTCATTCTGTTGAAGGTGAGGCAGTAATGGTCAAGTGAAGAAAGGTCTTTTCCTTTGGAGTGTTTTGTTCAATAAAACATGTAGGAAACCTCCGACCTTGAGTCGCTTTTCTATCTTGAGATTAATTTTTATTTGAAACCTAATTCATCTCTGTGGGATGAATATGGGACCTGGAGTCCCATTGGATGTATGGAATCAAACCTACTCCTATGTCCCAAAATTCAGTGATAGCCTGTTATTTTTGCAAGGAATTTAAAGCTAATGTAAATAGGTTTGTTTCTGTTTGGTTTTTGAAATGTTTCTCCATGGAAAACATGCTTCTTGCTTTCTAACCTTTTCCATGCATTTTGGAGATACTCTCAAGAACTCTTACCAACTCTGAGGTGAATAAGAAGGGTTATATCTTGCAGTGTGATTTAAGTTCTCCTTTTGGCTTTTTTTTTTGTATGAAAAAGGACATTTACATTTGGAAATATTTCTGATCCTTACTCTGTCACTGAAGAACAGTTTCTTAGCTTTCATGTTTAGAACTCCTTTAAGACTACAATTTGGGTAAAACTGGACATTAAAAGTGAGAGGATGGACATGTGTTAAAACATATTTGCAAACAAGCAATAAATACAGCAAATACAAGAACCAAAATATATTGTCACAGAACATAACGTTCAGATTTCACGAATCTTTGGTTGATGGTATAATTAATATATCTATAGCAAAAAATGCCTTCTTATGTTTTTTCTTAAGTTTACTATCTTGGTACTAGAATACAGTGGTTTGTACAGCCAACTAGCATGGTAACTAGCCAGACGGAAAGGATCTTTAACTAAGTTTGCTTTTTTCCCCTCTTATTTTCAATCCAGGTTTTGGTTTAAATTTTATTTTTTGTCTTTTTGGTGTTTAACAATCAATGCAGTCTTGAGAAGAACTTACTAACCTCACTTTCACAGTTTCATGAGGCATTTTGGACATGAATCTATGGCTTATTCTGGTGCTCCCTCTATTTAATTCATTAGTAGAAAGTCATGCTGCAGTTAAAATGTGCGTTTGCTTTTGGTTTTTCCCATGCTTGGCTTTTTTAAACAGTTTTGCTACTGGTCAGACATGAGCACAACTTCCGAAATTACCTACATAAACTTTCTTTTTTACGTTGGAAGTAGTCACTCCCAGGCTAGGAGGTTTGTGCTTAATTAACAAGTGACTGGGTAGTGGGTTTGAGGTAGATACTGGAATTATTACTGTTCCTTTCTAACAAGGACCTCCCATTTTTTGCAACTGGAAACTCTTCAGCACTTCCTCAACATTTGTATACAAGAAATACATTTTAGGTCCTTTGTACATAGTGAAAAATCTTCCTTTTTCTAATCAGGAAAATAATTTTCCTACTGAGAATGGCTTCTTGAGCTCTGTGGTTTTGTCTGTTAGTTTTCTGTTTGGGGATAGTGTTTATTTTGGGTTTGGTTTTTAAGCCTCTCAAATATATATATGTGTGTGTGTGTGTGTGTGTTAGGTGCATCCTTGTATGCCAAGGTGCCTTCCATCTCACATATCTCCTTGCTGGGGCCTGAGGTTGGTTTTTTGGAGGGACCTCCTAGTTGTAGCTTTCAGTACTTTCAGGCCAAATACCATCACTGGAAACCTTTTTTGTCCTCCCATTTACCCTCCTGTGTTAAGCTGCACACTACCACTGCCTCTCCCTGTTTCACCATTAGGGTTTTGGCCCATCCCATCTTTGTTGGTTATTTATTCCTGTTGCCATAGTAACAAATGTAGGGCAGAAAATCATACACATTTCAGATGTGCTTTGACCTAAAAGCTCTCCACACTAAAAGCATAAGGTACAACTGGGTGAAGTGGAAGCGGAGGTTGGCAGGAAATAACACAGTGAAATTATGCTCCTTAATGTAAGTCAGAGGACAGAGGGATACTAGCTACTTGTTAAACTGTTGGCATCATAGTTAAGTTGGATCCTAAAGAAGAATTTGAGGAGTCTACAGTTTCTTAATTTGATAGAATGATTTGGATTGGAAGGGACCTTAAAGGTCATCTAGTTCCAGTCCTTCTCCTGTTGGTGGGGACACTTTCCACTAGATCAGGTTACTCACAGCCCCATCCAACTTACCCAGTTTCTGGTTGGTTTGTTTTGTTTTACCCTGAACTACCTCATCTGTAGAGACAGAATGGGCAGAAAGTATAAGTTTTGGTAAGAATTGCTCTAAGTATGCAGTTAAGGTTGGAATGAGATGGGAAGGCAGAGGCAAACTTGTATTTGGCTCTTTGACATGCAAATTCTGAATGGAAAAGTAACACCAGTTCATTCAGTTTATTAAGATTATACTTGCTTTAGATATTTATGTCTCCAAAATAAACAATAAAAGGACAAAGCAGGGCATTTTTCTTGATAGTTTCTAACTCGTGGAAGAGTTGATTGTCTAGAGACAAAAAGGTGGAGATATCATATTGGTCAGTACTGCTTTTAGAAGTGATAGACTCTTTTTTCAAATCAGATTTTTTTTCTTTTTTAATAATTTAATATACTCTTAAGCTGTGCATGATTCTGATTGTTTTCCTATATTTGCAGTATTGTTTTCCTAGTGTATCAGCTCCTAATACAGTCCTTACTGTATCAGAATGCTAATAATGTGCAGGCAACCCAACAGAACTAATATTAAGGAATTATGACACATTTTTAGTGTGCAGTATGGTGGATTTATTAACCCAGCTTGAAGTGGGCTACTGTTAGGTCTCTTGCTGATGGGTCAGATGGATGCAGAGCTAGGAAAAGGGGCCTTAGAACAAATCTGCAGGAGCAATGCCAAAGTTGTATTTGCTTAAAATAAGCAATTTGAAAAATAAGCATGGAGGGAGGCAGCGGGAAGGCCCCTTGTTAATCAGAAGTACATCTATCAGATCTTGTCCATGCTCAAACTTTAGTTGCCAGGATAGCTAGTGAGAATCTACATTGTGTTCAATGTGGCTGAAACTTCAATATTAAGACAAGAATAATTTATTTTATATATGCTATTTTAGACTGATTAACACTGTCTCTTGTTCTACTTTGATTTGTTTCCATTCAGCGTTTTCTCAAGAACAGATGCTGAGGTTGGATAGAACTGCCCTTCTTGTCTTGGAGAGGCATATAGGTCTGAGAGAGAAGAAACATGCCTCTAGCCGTGTCCTGATCTTTTGTGTCTTGTGATCTTAGTTGGAGAGGTTATAATGGTGCAGGAGGACATGCTGGTGTTGTTCCAAGCTTCATTAATAAGAATACCACTAGCAGCAATTAAGTTACAGAACAAACCTGGCCTCTGATTGCTGTTTGGCATAGCTCAGTTGCACATGGAGCTTCTTGAGTTCAAGTATATCTGGAGGTGAACAGAGGTTCTTCCTTGAATTCTGCTGGAATTAGTGAATGTGGCCACTTCTTAGCTTGGGCAATTTGTTTTCTCCCAGGCCCAGTCAATGTCACAAAATCAGCTGTCACACTCAACTTATTGCCCAGATACTCATAGTAGGCTTGTTCTTCTGTCTTGCATGCTTTAGTGAACAGCTCTTACAGTGCCAACAGGGTTAGCATTTGTATCTGAGCAGAGCAGCTAATATCTCTGAGCTGACTTTTCACACTGCATCTTCAGCAGTTGTTACTCCATCAGTTCTGCCATTGCTCTATTTTCAAGTTATCTTGACAACTATAATATCCAGACTGTAAAGAGTATATCCACAGGAAAAAATAATAGGTAAAAAAGAAATCATATTTAGGAGTGTTTTCCAGTTGAACTGGTTGAATTTGGCCAGTGCTCTTGGCAGAGAGTAGGATCCATTCTTTTGCAACATAGATCTCTTTGGGGGATGGCTTGGTTTGAACTGCAGAATTTACCTAGATTCATGTGAAGTCCATGGGCACCAGTGCCCATCATGTTTGTCTGTTACAAGAAGACACCACATAAACCCAAGAGCAGCTAGTAATAAAAGTTTGTATTTAGGGTAATTAACTTTCAAGTTAAAAGGGAAGAGGCCTGAATTCAGAAAGGTCTTCATTACATACTTAAATATCACTGAAATCAGTGGAATGTATTAATGGGTCAAAATGCACAAGGCCCCAGCTGAGCAAAGCTCTTTTAATCTGACCTGGGGGATTGTTGTGTAGAGACTAATGGTGAAGGACCAGGTTCTTACCTTGATTGTCAGAGTAAGAAGTCAGTTAACCTGAGGAAAAAGTTCCTCAACAAGCCCCTGGGTAAATGCTGGTTTGATTGCTGACTCTTGTGGCCTTTCCATGGCTTCACATGCCATACCTATTTGACTGCTACTTTCTAACTCTAGTGGAGTAAGCTTTGAGAATGTGTTGTGACATGAGGTAAAGAACTTCTGCATTAGCAGATTGCTAGCTGTAAAGGGGCAGTAAGTGGTGACCAAAGGCTGTGTGTGCAAATGGCAGTTTAACCTGAGGCCTATTCTCAAGTGTTTCTTCTCATTTTACAAATGCATCCCTCCAGGCTGGTGGACAGACCTGACAAGCTCAGTGGTGATCAACATCCGCCACTTTTACTAGAGTTCTAGGATTCTTGTCTGTCAACTGTCGGCACAGCACACTGTGCTGCTATATTTGATTTCTTTGTCATAAATTCAAGACAAGCTGGAAATATCTGAGATATTTTGCCTGACCTAAGTTGAGAGGCTTTTAGAGAGTGAGCAGGCAACAGTGGTGGAAAAATCAGGGAAAATACCTGTGCTTTTAACAATGTTTCTTCTGTGGCTTTGAAAGTCCAAGAGTTTCTCAGCCAGAGAATGTATTTCTTCCTTCTTTTTATAAGCTACTTCTTTCTTTTGCCTTATCATTTGTGGATCTGCTCCTGCTTCTATTTCAAGCCAGATGCAAAAATCGGTGACCTGACTTTCCTAGGTACAGTGTTGTAAATCTGAATAACCAGGTGAGTAGATTTCTCTAGTGTAAGATCATGCCCCCATGTCTGATCCTTTGAGATATGGAATAGTTCCTGCTTGTGTTGAAATCACTGTGTGGAGGGTGTTGGGTACTTCATAAGGAACTCCAAACTCTGTAGGACTGGGATTCATCTTACAGCTCAAGTATTTCAGTCTGGTTTTGGAGACCTCTGTATGTCTTCTCTTCTGTTTATGGTGTTCAAAAGTCTGTTGCTATGGAAGTAGCACCTGAAGGTATGTTTGCCCGAAGAACCTGCAATGAAGCAGTTAAATTACCAAATGGCAATGTACCCCAGAATTGAGTAAAATAACAGAGGCCACCAAGTTTTTCTTGTTTGTGTGATGAAATGTTGTCAAATTAAGTGATTTGTTGGAGCCTTCCTTTAACTTCTGTACAGCAGTAAGCTTAGAGGAAAAGAAGATTGCATTATTTTTTAAAAAGCTTTATTTGTGACCTGGACTTGTTGCCTCTGACCCTCTTGGGCTTAAATAGTTAAATTATATTAATGTCCAGTTTGTTTCACTGTAGGTAACACATCAACTGAATACTCTTGTGCATAATCTACTGTATCTTTCCTCTGTTGTGTCAATGTATTATGTGTATTTGGATTACAGTTCTTTTTGTATTAAATTATTTTATGTTATAGAACAATATTTAAGTGAAGCAAAGAGCTAATGGAAGTTGTTGACGTTTTGGGATTTCTTTTCTCTTTGCTCTTTTTTTGGATGTACTGTAAATTGTAAACCAAGGATGCCAAGCAGGCTTGGTTCAATGGCTAAAATTATTGTATTACAGTGTAATGCTGATCTAGGCCTTGTCTCAACACTAGAGCACACAGACTTGAATAAAACTGTTATAAAAGCGACTGTCTTCAGGCCCTGACTTCTTGAGTTTGTGCTCCAAATAATTTCAAACTGGTATTTAGAATGACAGTGGCATTACCTTGCTATACGGATTTCAGAATTTTTTCCAGTACAACAAGAAGTTTATTTTTCTTTACTAGGTGCCTCAGTCCTGATCAGCTAGTCTAGCTCTAGGTTCTCCATAGGGCTTTTGAAATGTTTTTGTGAAAACTCAGCTTAGTGTAGGTCTTGGCACATACCTGTCTGCTAAGTCCCTTCTGGCTTTAGTTCTCTGAACTAAAGAATGAATTGCATACCATTTTTATTAAAGCTAATATTTCTGTTCTGTTAGCCTGAGGTTTTTCTACTCTTTATTTAATATTCCAGCTAGAATATGAATTTAAATGGCTGGATGTGGAGCTTATGCAGTAACATGTTTTGTGCATGGTGACATTTAACAGATGGTTTAGATTCACTTGTGATGCTGTGTCTTTGTCTCTGCCACATCATTCAGTGAGACAGAGTTACATGAACAAGGATCTTTCCAAGCTGTTTTCATCTGCTGCCAGTGTGAAAGCCAGAACTACATGGTTTTCATTCCTAGGTCATGTATTTGAATCCTAGATTATACTTTTGCTCTTCTCTGCCACAAAACCATAATTTCACATTTCTCTGCTTTAAGAAGTGTAGCTGTATTGATGAAGGACTATGCACCACAAGCACTTAAATTTAATAATTGCCTTTGAAAAAAGATTTTTTTTTTCTAATACAGGTACATGCAAGAAATCTTTCACCCTTCCAACAGAAGTGGAGACTGAGCAATGCATAGGTAGGCTACCTTTAGTCATATATTCCATTCAGAGTGCTGAACTGCTGTGTTTTGTGATAAACTAGGAGGACAGTGAACAGACAGTCAATTAAGTTAGTTAGAAATAAGAGCATGCAAAATGAATTGCTTTTTCACTCCTCCCCAAATCCAGACTGTGACAAACTGAAACAATTATTTCTACCTCCTGTAATGTTCTGCAAAGTAGAATTATGTCTTAGAAGATTCAGATTTTCTAGCTGAATTTACTCACCTGCCACGATGACAAGGTTACCCTAATGCTCAAGCTGACCTCATCAGCAACAGAAGTCTACATGCATCATGGCAGACCAAAAGCTGCAGCCTCTGCAGAACATGGCAGGAGCACAAAGCACTGGGGTAGAAGAGGAAAATAAAATAGCAGTTTTTTAAGCAGGGAAATCTTAACTTCTAGCAGAGAAGGAACATCTTAAATCTAGACTGGCCAAGTCAGCACTGATGCAGAATAAATACACCAGCAAATGCTTTAGGCTGAGCAACTTGAGTTTTTCATTGTTTGATGTGGAGGCAACGGTTGGGTGTACAAGTTCTACTGTGACAGTGCAAATCATATGTGGCCTTTAGCTCTGAATGTGCTCAGGTGAAGAAATCACCATGTATTACATTATATTCAGATGGCACATGCTGAAATAGCTCATGCAAGTGGTGCTCTGAAAGTCCATAGCATACCTACTTCTAGTAGACTTTCAAGGCCATGCAGATTAAGGGAGAAGAGGGCAGGCTTTCCTCTATCATGCAGCTCATATAATTTGATTAATTAATCTGCTGTTTCTAGTGAAATTTTGACATTCTTGGTCCTTCTGACTTGGAAGCAAAGGGAGATGTCCCTACTAAAGCTAGGCTTAACAAGAGCTTAATTACATGTAAAATGAAAAGTTTGTAGGCATATTGCTATCAGGCTCAAACAGACTAAGCTTTTGAAAAAATCTGGAGTGAACATGACAATAACAAATGTCAGAGTCTTTTAACAAGGATTAACAAGCTTTGTCTTCATGCTTGGGCACAATGGACACTGCAGTTTGCTTTGGCAGGGAAAGAAAATAATTGTAACTAAGGATGAACAAAGCTCTGGCGTTTTCAAGTAGACTTGAGCATGCTTTGTGCCTCTTTGCTGCTTCATCTGAAATCTTATTAAATGGCATGTGATTTACTTGCTGTTAAGTCCTCATTAATTTAACAATGAACAAATCTGAGTGGAATGAAAAGAGGCAGGATCAACTGATAGCACTCTGACACAAAGTAGAACAGAACCATAATCGCTTTACTAAATATAACCAAAGTCTGTACACTTCATGCCTGCAAAATTTGCTCTGAATTTTATTATTTTCTCCCCACATCATGCACCAGTATCTTAACTTTATAACAAATCACAGGTTTTGAATTTTTTAAAAAAACATGAATGGGGTTACCTGTCACAGATTGCAGCCAGTATCAAAAGAACCAGCTCTCATGGATGTGAAGGTCGTACACCATCATGTTCTCCAATGGGACCCTGAGACAGTAGTTGGAGAACTGCTCATTGTACAAAGAGCTTACTATTTCTGCAGCAGTCTGGCATTTTTGCTTTTGGTGATCTTCCTGCAATTGCATCTGGTTTTTCACTTTTGCTACAGGTACGCCCAGATCTTTCAGGCCTTATTTAGAGGTAAGAGAATCTTCTAAAGCTGGTGCATTTCAAAGGAGAACTTCTTGATAATGACTTGTGACATGAGCTACTCTGTAAGGGAAGATGAACTGGAGCAAAGGGTGACTGTAGGGCAGTGACCCCATGGATACAGTCTCAGAGCACCTGATCAAGGTAAGCAGAGCAGGTCAAGTGACAGTAACTGGGGCCAGTCACCGTCCAGTGATCATCAGGCAAGTCTTTAGGGATAAGGCAGGTCCAAGGTCAAGGTAAGAAGGCAGAAAGGAGCCTGGGTGAGCAAGGTACTGGGCAAGTGTAGTCATAATCATAATCTTGCTGAGGCAAGGATTATGGGCAAGAAAATTAAGCTACTTGGTCATGGAAGCAGGCTATGATGAGGATTCTCATAGCTCTTGTCCCAGCCACAGCTACACAGCTGTATCTGAGCTGACCAAGAGCCCAGGCAGCCAAACTGTAGAAGGGACTGTTGTTACAAAGGCTGTTGGATACTTACTGGGGCAGACATCTATTCAAAATCCATTGAAGTTCATTATCTTTTTCTAGTTCTGCAGTTCAGCATTGTAATCAAGTGTAGTTAGAGAATGAGAGGAGGGCCCAGGAGATTTCACGACCACTGGGGGTTTCAGAAACTCAGCTTTTGCTGAGTCTAGTGGAAGAAGCAGCTCCTGCAGCCTCAGTGCTTCATATCTTCAGTACAAACAGCTGAGATTCTTGGCTGGCCTTCTCCTTCATGCAATTTTCTGTCTTTATAATCCAATCTCCTTTTCTATAATCACATAGCTTTCTCTGGAGCAATCTGTCATAACCATGTTTGCCAATTGGTTTCTCACCTGCATTCAATTCTGAGATTAGGACCACACTTCTTGCATCCACATGTCATCTCTTCAGGGTTAGCCTGAAGTCTTTTTCCCTTCACATGCATTGATTATTACAAATTACATGCATGATAAGACAGACGCTTTTTCCTCACCAGTTATACACAACCTTTCAGCAGTACTATTTCAAGCCAAGTCCACTGTCCCCCTGCCTAAAGACATGGGTAAGGAATCAATATTATCAGATCTTAATTCTGAAATGGCATCACAGCCATTTAGTCTGTAGAGTTCCTCAACTTACACAGCTATCAGAAAAACAGATGTCTAAGTGTCAATCACGAATTCTTTCCCATCCAACTAAAGATGGAACAGATTTTTTAAAAAGTGCTGTTGGACTGTGCACAACTGAAAATGTCTGGTGGAGTGTAGGAATTTGCTGCAATAACTTGCTCTTTAAGCAAGTCCTTTTTGGACTTGAATCTACAGAGCCTTGAAGATGTAAGTGCTACCTAATATTTCTCAAGAACTGGGCTTTTGGGACTAGGGAGGGCCAAGCAGAAACTTCTATGAGAGCCTTTGAGCAACAATAATGTTAAGTATTGCATAAGCCACAGCTGACGGTGTTGGAAGCTGTTTTCCTTTCCTCATCTAAACTATGCAGTGGGTGGTTAACAGCAAGCTTGCACACAAGCTAAGAACAGAGTTTTGGAAACATGTGGCTAAGGGAATCTGGGGGCCTGACCAGCTCTGTCCAACTCCTGTTTTTTCTCATACCACAAAACATTCCTCTCAGGCTTCATGGCACATCCAGACTGCCTTATTTTGATGCAGTGCTTCTGACCTTGAGCTCCATCTCAGACAGGCAGTCTTAACCTTGTGTCAGACCCTTTGTAAACTTAAGTATTCTCCAAAGGTTTTGGCGTGCATCAGGATGTTGCCTCTACATAATCTAAATAACACCAGCTGAGAGGAATTGCCCCTGAGCAATATCCCCATCAGCCTCTCTCTTGTGACTGAAGTGCTATGCCAGCCATTACTTGAAGTGCCACAGGCCTAATCTTGTAACTCAAACAGCCGTTTTCTCTGCCAACAGGTCTGCTTCAGTTTGCTGGTGTTGGCTGCTGTGATCTGCCTTAGGAAAGCAGACTGAAGCTAGGAGATCTTAGAGCTGACTGAGCACTTGGATTCATCTTCCCAATGTGTTTCCTATATGGGTCATTACACCCCTTCTTTAACTACTTCTAGAATGGGGGTGTTTATTATATACGTATGTCTCCATAGGTTGCAGTGCACAATATAAAATATTTTTTAATTTACTCTGTGTGTAGGAGTAAATGTGATTTAGGTTACACAAGGCTCTCTCACCTTTCTTCAGTTTTGTTTTATCTAAGGCAAACATTTGCTAAATTGACCGAGATGATAGTTGAGTGTGTCTCTTGATGGGTAGTTAAAACAGCAGCTGATTGGGTTTGTGTCCTGGGATGACTGTGCATATGGGAAGGAAACCTCTCTGCTGGCAGCTGGGAAGGTTCTGTGGGTACTTACTACCTGTGTCTACCTTTATACCCAGGTACCTGGTGGACGTGTCTAAGCTTTTCAATTCTGGCAGAGGACCAGAAAAGCAGCAGGACTTGTCTAGAAATGTTTGGTAACCCTGGAGCAGAGTCCTTATCTTAAACACCCTTCCCTAGCCAGAGA